ATTCAGCTGGGCTGTAACCCACTTGTCCAGCCTGATGCCTTTGGGGTTGTCTTCTCAAGATATTCCACCCTGTGGGATGGGATGGGCTCTGCCCTTCCCAGGGGAACAGACTGGCTGGGGTAGGGGTATGTGCCACTGCTGGCGCTGGGATTCTGGGCAGCCACACCATGGTGCTGGGCTCTAGCTGCCCTGGCCAGCCCAGCCTGAGTGGCTCTTGCCATGGTTAAGGATGCTCTTTTTCTGCACCAGGATCTCATCTGAGTCTCCAGTTCCTTGGGGGAAAAACATTTCAAAAGAGGAGAAAACCCAACTGCTCCAGGAGCAAGGAGCTGGGATGAACCAAGGGGGGAGTTGCCAAAAGCTCCATCTGTTTTCCCTCTCATGATTCCGTGAGGAGGCTGGGAGAAGCCTCCTGGGAAGAGGGATGTGTGCAGGCAGGAGGGCAGCCATCCTGCCCATGATGGGGTGAAGATGCTGCCTGCCCCTTCCACCCCAGGGTTTGGGGTTGAGTCCCACTGCAGACTGGGCCATCCCCTGCTCCACATCCAGGAGCTGCATCCCCCAGGAGGCAAACCTGCATGGCTCAGCTGAGCTTGCCCCAGCCTGGGGGAGCCAGAGGCAGCTGGGGCCACTGGTTGCGTGTTTGCTGGAGGGCCGGTGTCAGGGACAGCCAGAGCGGTCACTGACCTCACAGCTCAGCAGGGACATGGCCATGGAAAGTTTGCAGCTTCCCCAAAGCTTCAGCCACTCCACATGGGCTTTGTCTTGAGCATGTGAACTGTTCCCCTGCACTATCCAGAGCCAAGTGAACGCCAGAGGCTCGGCAGGATCCGCTCCTGGCGGCTCTGCTGGGGCTGCTGACGGCAGTGTCTCAGCCACAGGTCAGGCTATGGCACTGGGGGATGCAGGGGAGGACAGCAGCAATAGGGTGCTGTGCTCGGGGGCTTTGCAGAGCCACAGCTGTGTCAGCCATCAGCAGGTTCCTGCCATGGCACCACATGGTACCAGGGATACAGGTGTGGGATTGGGACGCGGTGACAGGTCTGACTGAAAGCAGAAGCCCTTTCCATCGAGTTTTTGCTCTGTTTTTGTCCATGTGGTTTTTTTTCCGGTGCCAAAAATTGTGCAACCGCTGCTGCTCTGGGACATCCTGTTGTGTTGATCCTGTACCCCAGCACGGCCCGTGGTGGGGGAGTATTGTGCAAGGTACCCCCATTGCTCCTGCATCCATCCCTGTCACCTGCTGTGCTACTGATGCCTGTGTCTCCTTGGCAGGTACCATGACCAGCAGGATGTAACCAGCAACTTCCTGGGTGCCATGTGGCTCATCTCCATCACCTTCCTCTCCATCGGCTATGGAGACATGGTCCCTCACACCTACTGTGGGAAGGGAGTCTGTCTGCTCACTGGCATCATGGTAAGGGCTGCGCTGAGCTGGTTGCCCATCCCACGAGCTCTGCCTGTCCCCATCACAGCAGCAGGGCCACTGGGTCTTCCAGGGACCCCTTTCCCACAACAGCTTCAGCTCTGAGGTCTCAGTGTCTGGGAGGTGGTGGAGCTGTAGCTACAATTAGCATCAGCACAGTAATTAGCAGAAGGGGTGGTTTGGGTGAGGAGGTGATGTTGCAGGCTGGGTGGATGCTGCCATCCCATGGGGTGCAGTGTGGGACACCACAGTCCCTTGCCCTGCGGTCTCCGCTGGTGAATTTGGACCAGTAAGTTCAGTGAGGGTGGAGAGAGCTGCCCATAGTGGGGTCAGGGATGTTCTCAGGGAGCAGAGGGAGCATCCCTTGGCCATCCTGGTTCACACCACCTGCCTTCCATCACTCAGAGTGAACCCAAATGCTGCTGGCTCCTGCTGAGTGCTGGGACCAGCTGGGAGCCCTTCACCTCCCATCAGCACCACTGCTCTGCCACGGCTTCTTCCCTTCCAGCTGAAGGATCACTGTCCTCCAGGGCCTCTGGTGTCCCTGCTCCAAAGTGCCTGTGGTCACAGCTCCACCCCAGCCCCCAGCTCTGCCCCCTCAGCTCCAGGCCCTGGGGTGGCTCCACATCCAACCCTGTTCCCAGCCAGGGCAGCAAGAGCTGGTGCCCAATGAGAGCTGTCAGCCAGGGCACCTCCACCACTGGGTATTCATTCTGGATTAGCTGCAAGTCTTTGATCCGTCTGGGATGAGGTTGGGTGCCAGCAAGGCTGAGCTCTTGGTGGGAGCCAGTGAGGGAGAAAATCCCTGTGGGGAGGGTGGGGAGGGGATGCAGATTCCTAGCAGGGCAGCAGCACCAGCTTGGTGAAGGGATCCTGGTGCCACAGGCTCCCAAAGCTCCCCCCAACCAGCAGTTACTT